TATGGGAAAGTAGAAGATTGTTGGGAAGCTTCAATGTTAGTATAGTGTCATTGTGAAATATTTTTCTATTTTACAGTTATTTAAACATAATATATACTTTTTCCTAACAGTATTTTACTTCTATGTAACGGTACAGACGGACTCTACTATGATCCGTATAGAAATGGCACTGCAACTTTTGACCAATCCTTTAAACGAATGTAGGCAAGAGATTTTGAACAACAGCGCCAAACATGGGAGAAAAGTTAAATTTACACCAGGTTGCAAGCTTTAATTTTAGGTGGTGATGAAGCTGGTGGTATGTTAAGGTTTAATGAGCTGTTGTTGGAATGCCTTTTATCATGAAAGTTACTCCGTGTTATTTTTGTCCTACCTTGTAATGATGCTGACTTGTATGGGGCTGTTATGTTAATGTTTTGTATAGGTTAGTTTTGTATAAATTTGGGCTTTGTTTGGATTGTAGAGGTTAGTTTTGTAGAAATTTGGGCGCTGTATTCATATGGTGAATATTTTAAACTAGTTTTCCTATCTCAATAAGTTTATTTGATTGATTCTTTTACGAAATCTAAGCTTATGAGAGCCTATATTTTGTTGCTCCAATATGGTTTGGGCACTGTATTCATATGGTGAATCTGTATTCATATGCTTTGCAATTAAAATTTGTGAAGAAACATAATGAAACTTGTGCAAAAATGTTAAAATTTGGGTGAAATTCTGGAAAAGCATTTGCTATTGTTTATTTAGAATTGCCGAGATCAATGACTCATCTCTTTGATACATATATACATAGATATTATTTTTCTCTATTTTCACTTCAAATAAGAACATAACAGTATGGTGAATTCATATAGTTTTATATATGCTATTACTTAAATAGCAGGATGTGAATACTTAATTGAGAGGGTGAATGTACTTAGTTTAAGTTTGAAAAGGGTGAATGTACTTAGTTTAAGTGTGAAGGTTATGATTGAAGAAATTAAAACAGGAAGATAATGAAGAAATTAAGAATAATTAGCAGGATGATGAATGATATATAACAGGAAGATCTTATACTCATTCATTAACTAAAAACCCAAATTACACATATTCACATCACTATTTTAAAAATTACAATATAGATTAAGAACCCGAAGAGAAAAAAGGCAATGGAACATATCATTCTGACACAAGGATGAACTTCAACACTTTTTTTCCAGTTCTCTTCCCAAGTCCACTACCATATTCTCTATCTCTAGTGACCTTTGACCATTAACATTTGTGGGTGCTTCTGAAATTGTTGTTGATGCTTTAGCTCATCGTAACTCTCTTACCTCTGTCATAAAATCCCAAATTAATTTGCGGTAGTACTCAGGCAACTCTTCATCTTCCCAACTTAAAAAACCACATGAAGCAGTTCTATAGTTTACACAACCATAAAACCTTATACTTCGATTTTTAGCTGTATTTGAAATTTTCAAAAGACTTTTAACTCCACAATGGCAGTAATATTCTTTCAAACCAACTCCATAGGGGTAAGAATGATTTCTTGAGGTTGAGGATGATCCCATGTGAGATTATTGTACACCTCTTGCCTAAACAGAGAAAGAGAGATGCACTATTAGAGGTATTGAGAGAGAAGGTTAGAGAGGTCAAAGAAATATATAAAGAAAGAAAAAATATAGAAAAATTTAAATATACTGTGGCCCGGGGTGATTGATTTGTACTCCTTACATAATCCAGATTTGTAGTGATTAGAAAATTCTTCGTAAATAGTGTGGCCATTATATTTAGGCAATTACACAACTTTTCCTAACTAGTTTTGCCATTTCATCCAAGTACTACATATATGATATTTTGGATACGAAGAGAGTCATATATATATATATATATATATATATATATATATATATATACACATGATTGATTTGTACTACTTACAGAATCCAGATTTATATTGATTAGAAAATCCTTCGTAAATAGTGTGGCCATTATTTTTAGGCAATTACACAACTTTTCCTAGCTAGTTTCGCCATTTCATCCAAGTACTACATATATGATATTTTGGATACGAAGACAGTCATATATATACATGATTGATTTGTACTCCTTACGGAATCCAGATTTATAATCATTAGAAAATCCAAGTGGCGTCGTGTGACCATTATTTTTAGGCAAATACACAACTTTTCATAAATAGTTTAATTATACATTTACAGCCAAACAAGCAGACAAGCAGTGCATATCATATCAAACAAGTAGTGCGTTTAATTATACATTTACAGCCAATACCTGTAACTTATTACAAGAAATTGTGTTCAACTAATCCTAACCTACCACATTAATTGGCTATGCATATTGACTACATATCTAACATAAGTTCTTCCCTTTCGGGATATACTGGTTAACCTTCTCCCAAAAGGTAACCAGCATAAACAAAGCAAGTAGTCTAAAAATGAAAGTAGAAGAACTCCCACCACCGTTGCTCACTGAGGTGGTTAGTAGAGTGGCGGCAAATAATTTTCAAGACCTACTACAACTTCAACAACGGTAACGATTTACTTGTGATAAGTGGTAGTTTATATATTTTTTTTTATTTTTTTATTTTTTTCATATAACAGGTTATATGATAAATGATAGGAATGTTAGAAGTCATAATGATGTAACTAGATCTCTTTCCATTCTTTTGAAATGCATTGTTTGGGATGTTTTACATATAGCTGCGATTTCTCTTCAGGATGTTTTATGTTCTTAGGAGCTTAGTGTAGCTGCAGGATTGTCTACAATTCCTTTGCTGCCTTGGGTGGTTTCAGTGAGGGGTGTTACCTCACTATCATTCTTTGTACATTATTGTTTTATGTTTATAATATTTTCTTCATTGAGGAAAAAAAGTTAAAAGTGTTTCAATATGTGCAGTTCTCGTAAGTTAGTTATGGTGTGTTTGGAGCCACATATGTTACAATATCTCATTTTTAAATCCTTGTTCGAAATATAGATGGGGGGTACCAGTGATACTTACTATTTACAATGCGTGTTCATGTAAAAGTGTGTTGATGATGGCAATCTAGAGGCTATGTTTGTCTTTGGAGTGGTACGTTGCTTATACTCACTTTACTGAATTGTGAAAGTAATTTAGTTGGTTTTTTTTTTTTTTTTAATAACTTTATGTTAGATGTAGAGCTATTTTTCTTGTATCAAAATCGGGTAAATGGGGTAAGTATTCTAACCAAAGGTGCATATCTTCAGCATACTGGTTGTAAGTTTGCTTTGGCTATTGCATTAATATATGACAATGATGCTGATAAAGTAAATGGTATTCAACAACTTTTGAGCATGAACACAAACATAACAAATAAAATGATCATAAAACATAATGATTTCAATAGTGAAGAGAGGGTGATCAAATAGGTTATTTCTTAATATTCCCGCTTGTTGTGAGGAAGATTATGGACCACCGAACTATGAAGGTGACATAGTTCATGTCAAATGGTGGATGGTCGAGCGAATAAATGAGGAGAAAATAAAATGTAATCTTTGTCATTGCGATCTCCACATATTGATGGTGTCTGGCATCATTGGAGAAAAAGTTATAGTCAACTAATGGTAACCGTTGACGTCGTTTTCTGTATGTAATGTGATATACGTAATACAATGTCTGTAATGTGATATATGTAGTGTGATGTTGTATTTAACTTTTGAAGTAACATAATGGAACTTTTGGGATGGACAGTTTAATTAGCACTATCTAACAAAAAATCGCCATATGCAAAAGGCAACTAAATATCGCCATCATTAGAGAAAATAGCCAGATGCCATTCACAAAACAATGTCACCTTGAAATTGATGGTTTCAATCTATCCCAAATCAAAAACAAAATGGACTAAACAACATATATACACATACATATTTCAATTGACATAAATGACCTTAATTAAAATCATACAGCCAATATAATGCTTTCATTCGTACCTATACACCATCACAAATAAAGTGAACAGGTTATCCATACATTTACACAAAAGGGGATATATTTTTTATACCAATATCTTTTCATTCATCCATCCACCATAGCATACCTATACACCATCACAAATAAAGTCGAGCCATCAATTTCTCATCAGCATACAACTAACAATAGTGTGATCAACTTCGACATATATGACAAACAAAATAAATACAAAATTAATTATTGTCAAGAATTTTTTAACTCAGAACAACTTTTGTCGAGCTCGAGGATTGATCACAGATGTTGTCTCCTCGGACATTGGCATCGAATTACTATGACCACTAGTGTGATCAACATCCTTAGAATGGATTATACAAAAATAATGTTTGTACATTCGTTAATTAATGCAAAGTTAAAACACACATGTTTAGAATATATCGCGCAAACATAAATTTTATAAGAGATAAACTTACAAGATAATCTGAGAATTGGCATTCATGATACGAAACCAATGGAGTCCCCTGCCAATATATTGTCAATGTTCATTAGCCGGTGGATTTCAAAAGTATGAAATAATGTTGAACTTAATTTTTATATACCTAGTTCAGAATAAAAGTTTTTTTATATGTGTTCAGTTGATGGAGTCCTAGGATGACTGAAGTTAGTGGTAGGACAGTATGCCGTTTGGTCGATATTTGTTTCCAAATATAAACGTGCACATGGGTGACGATCTTCGTAAATCCAAGTGGCGTCGCTAGGAATGTCACAACCCTTATTTCAATATAAACATTCTTAGTTAATAGATTATCGTCCTTAAAAATTATAATAATATATAAAAAAATAAAAAAACCAATGTTTTGATTTAGCAAAAGGAGAAAACTCACATTCACGCACATATATAATAGGTGGCACAGTACCACTGCCACCTACCCCTGCACCAACACTATTGTTGCCATTTGATTTCTACAAAATAATAGACTTATTCATTGTAAAAACAAAATTAGGACGTTGCTAATATCAAAATATTAATGACATATACTGGAAAATTAAATTATCAAATAAGAATAAACAAATTAAATTAACCTTTCATTTCGCATAGTTTTTTTTTTCTCTGCATGAACTGTTCAAACTTATTCTTCTTCCTGCGCCTTGGTCCCTTACCATCTGTTTCTTTATTCTTTATACCCTTGGCATTACTTCCGGTCGCGGCTTGCCCAATGATACTTTCATTATGTTCATGATTATTACTTCTTTCAGTTGAAAAAGCTGAATTGGTTGCCTCTTGTTCAACATCGGAACATTGTCCTTCAACATTAATGTGTTTTCTTTTCCATTTCATCCCCTTTAGCATCAAATTATTGAATACCTCTTCTTTCTTGGATGCAAATGAGCTTATTTCTGTAAAAAAAAAAAAAAAATGGCATAACATCCTATACCTTCTGCGTACTTTAAGTTTAGGATCAGCAATGACTTCACATCCATGGATGTCTTGTACGCTGTTATCCCCAACTTTTCTCGTCCACCTTTTAAGTATATACATAGAAGGTAATTCTTTGAAATAATGAGTGTCGTCTTTCAGTACTTTAAGTACATGGTTGCACAAAATACCCTCCATTGCATATTTCCCGCACGAACAACTTAGAAAGCCATCATCCCACCTTATCACAGTCCGATCCATACTGCCATCATGAATAGATACTCTAGAAACATGTAAGCCATTTTCATCTAAAGTTATTCCTTCCACGGTAGCAACCACACAAGCTTCTATGAATTGGTCTTGGAAAAGTTCAAAAATCTTCAACGTGTACATATTGCCTACTTGCTTTAGAATTGGACAATTTTGTTTAAGTCTAGGTAGCTTACTGAGTAAACCATACTCAGCTTGATATTCCTTGTAGTGTTTATTCGACAATAGCCTGTCAAGGTGCATGAAGAAATCCGGAATACTCATTTTCCTAGTTAAGTACTCTTCAAGCAGCTATTTAGACTTTCATTCAGCTGCATTGTTCGCATTCTAGCAGTAAACCAATGTTTAACAAATGGATAGCCCCATTTTTCTCTCAAACCAAACAAATTGTTCAACCATGTGTTACCAACAACATTGTACTCCCTTAACATTACATCCCATTGTATACAAAAATCATCCTCATCATCATAACAGTACATGAATTAACTCAACACATTTTTTATCCCTTCATCTTTCCTAAAAATGGTGCTAACATGCTTCTGTGCATTTGCTATAATGTGCCACGTGCAAAGTAGATGTCTTATCCTCGGCATAACTTGTGTCAACGCCTTTGCCATTGCACCATCTTGGTCAGTAAGAATTGTTTGTGGAGCTTTACCTAACATCACATTCAAAAATATATCAAAAAGGCATGTAAATGAATAGGCAATCTTATCATACATCATTACTAAAAATTTTAACAGTATTGAAAATTTAAAGGCAAAAACAAAATAATATAATACATATATTATATAAAACTTTCATTAAAAATTATGCCCCAATAAAATATCTTCATTTCAAAAAGTAATTCACATAAAAAAGGGAAAAAAAATGGCCATGTTCAATTATTAATGGCTTAAAACATATGTATATATAGGATGACCAAAATGATTGCAAGAAGAAAAAAAAAAAAAAACCCTGTATAGCATTTACATGACATTGCATTTAAGAATGAATCAAACTGCCACGCAAATGAATTGGCAACCTCGTCATACATCTATAACAGCCGTCTTTCGATGATGATTCAAACTAAGAAAAGCCGCAAAAGGACGGTTGCTTTGGACGAGCTTGTATGTCGTGTCGAATGTGATGACGTCTCCAAAATGCCCATAGTCAATTATCATTCTCGAATCTGCCCAGAAGATACTAGTTATCATTTCATCGCTATCCAACTGCACGGTATGGAAAAATGAAGGATTCTCACAAGATTAAATTTTGAAATAATTCATTAGCCATGTTTTCTCCCTGTATTCTAACTCACTTGTCTTCTGGTCCTTAGAAAATTTTGTTGATCAACTTTGGTGTAGCCAATTGATTGCCTCCCACCAGCCTACCAGCTCATTAACTCAAACACATTACCAAGTGGAACTCCAAATTGGTAGGCTAATTCCACATCAATTGCTTGGGCAACACTTATTCTTTATTGTGATGGCATCACATGTGTGCATTCTTCAATTATCATAGGATGATTGTGAGATTTGACAAAATTATATACAACATACTTTCCTTTCTTGCGATCATATCTAATTTGCATCAGTGCACCACAACCGGTTCAAGTTTCAGCCCTAAGCTTTCTTGTATGGATATCCCTCTTGTCCATCACCCTAAAACCTTGTTTGGAACATATAAACTTGTTTGTTGTAATATTTCCTGTCTTACGGCGTTTATTTGTATAATTCTTACCAAATACTGAATCTAACTTTATCCCCATAAGCATTGTAAAAGTCATATGCTTCATCCTCAGTGTCAAACTGCATGTTCAATTTTGGTGTGAATTTTATCTCAATGGGATTGATAACTTTTGCTGCTAAGCTTTCAGAAATAATGATTTCGGCAACGATTAGAACGCTTGTTATCACATCATTAGTACTTAAGTTGTCGTCCATTGGGATAACTTCAGTATGAATGCTACAAGCACGACAACAAATTTGGGCTCTTGCCATGAAATTTTTCGCCACGCGTAAAATTTTGTGGCAAAAAGTATCTTTTGGCCACAAAATTAACTTCTTGTGGCTAATATATGAGTGTTTGCAACGAAGTAAATTTTTCATGGCAAATACTAGTTCTTGCCACGAATATTAGGGATGACCTAAAAATTTGTGGTAAAATGTCAATTTTGCCACAACGAATTAGAGACAACATACAAAGTTGTGGCAAAAATGCTATTTGTGTCACGAATTTTTGTTCGTGGCAATTGTATGTTTCTTTTGCCACATATATATTTTTGTGGTAAATCACTTTACAATTTGCCATGATTTTATTCTCGTGGCAAATATACTTTTTTGGCACGAAGTTTTTTTCTCGTGGCTAAAAGATGGATTCTGTCACGAATTATTAGTTGTGGTTATGATATACTCTATTGCCACGTAACTATTTTCGTGCCAAATCTATTAGGAATTCGCAACGATGCTTTATTCGTGGCAAATAGTATCTTTTGCCACGAATTTTCAATTCTTGTGGCAAAATGTCATTTTTACAACGAATTTGTTTTCGTGGCAATTAAGAACTATTTTGCCATGAATTTTCAATCCTTGTGGCGAAATGCCATTTTTGCAACAAATTTGTTTTCGTGACATTTAAGATATCTTTGTTGACTATTATTTATTTATTTATTTAGTTTTTGTAATTCCTTAAATAAGAGGCCTAGAACACCGAATCCCTAAGCAAATTAATTAATTGTTAATAAAAATTCAAAATGGCATTTCCTTTAAATTTGCTTTTTAAATACCACTACTGTACTTGTCATATAGAAAAGATTAAAAAAAAAAAAAAAAAAAACGTACCAAACATTCTTATATTGAATTTAAATTAATCATATATATATATATATATATATATATATATATATATATATATATATATAATGCAATATTTATAAGTAATTAAAAATTAAAGATATAATAAAAATATAGATCATATATCAAATCTTGAATAAATTTACAACTACAAAATAAGGGTATAAATAAAAGATTTAGTGATTTGGGAATTAAATGGAATAAAAGATCTTAAAAGTACGTAGGTTTTTGTTGGCACAAAGCCTTTAACCAAGGACAATCTAGTGATTTTGGTGATTACAAACTATTAATGGTGTTTGTGGACTAATGTTTAATTATATACATTGAGTGTTATTGATGATTCGTCTTCAAAAAATGACCTCAATGAAGCGATCACATCAATGAAAAAGAATGGATACAAAGAGACATGAATTAAATTGCAAGGAAACCAAATGCAAGTCCATCCAAAGATAGCTTGGACTACAATTAATGAGAAAACAAACAACTCAAAGAAATTGGAAGAAAGCAAGAATAACTCAAAGCCTAAACAATCATATATGAACAAAGCTTAAAGAAATGGGTAAATAGTATGGTGGGTGTTTATGATTCAATTCAAAGTATTTATGAATCTATTTAAAACTCATTTCTATAGGTCATGCATATAATATCATCATTCACATACATGTTCTTATATCCACTAGCAATAGACATATGAAGTCATTGCTAAACGAATAAGTTAGTTCAAGTTTACATAAGCTTTGAATTAAGGAAGTCAATGCTTGAGTTAGAAATGCTAAGACCATGCACACCAATTGATCATACGTTTTATTTTGGTCTCTAGAAAGTAGAGTCTAAGAAATTTGAACTTACTTTTTCATCCACAAAGCCTTTGTTACCATGACTTGGTAAATGACTTTACGATCCGGACATTTCTCATCAAAAACTGTTTCTTGCACTACAACAAATTTGGTCTTTGGCGACAAAAACTATAGCGACAAGATGAATTTGTCGCAATAAAATGACCTTTTATGACAAAAAGTAACTTTGTCGCCTTAAGCTAAATTTACTCGACAAAAACCAAATTTGTCACAAAAAGTTATCGCAATATCTACCCCGGGAGTTTCCTTACGTCTGGACATATGGCGGGAAAGGGTATGGCGACGAAATTGGTTTTAGTGACAAATATAGCTTTGTTACAATTGATGGCATTTTAACGACAAAAATTGTTGTCGCTACAAACAACCTTCTAGTGACAAATGATACATTGTCGCAAAAGATTGAGTTATTGTGACAAATATAACTTTGTCACAATTAATGGCATTTTAACGACAAAATTTGTTGTCGCTACAAACAACCTTCTAGTGACAAATGATGCATTGTCACAAAAGATAGAGTTATTGTGACAAAACTCACTTTGTCACAATTAATAGACTTTTAGTGACAACATATTGTCACTAATTATTATCATTTAGTGACGATGAATTTTTGTCCCAAAAAACTACACTCTAATGAAAAAAATGGTCTTTGTCGCCATTGATAGATTTTTAGTGACAAATTATTTTTCGCCAATTTCTATCTTTTAGTGACAAAGGATATTTCGTCACAAAAGAGTAAATTCTTGTCACAAATTGGCCTTCTGTCACCATATACTTGTTTGGGAAATAATAAGAAAAATTAGAACTTATCATAAGGTATCTTTTTAATATATAAAAGTGTGTGTATATATATAAATATATGGTAAAGTGCAAAAAACTTCCTGAACTATGTTTGAATTTGTAAATAACCCCCTTGAATTATATTTTGTGCCTAATACCATCTGTTGCAAAAATGCCCCAATATTCTAATAATAAGTTAATCATTTTATAAAATGGTAGTTATAAATATATATTTTTTATTTTTATGATAAATTAATTCTACTAATAAAGTTAATGGGTAAATTATAGCTTTCTCCTCTCTCTTTCTCATTCCATTAACTAATCAACCCTATAGGTTTGTAAAAATTATGTGGGCTCTAGGCATGATACTGGTTGGTTATCATTGGGGGATAAATTTGTATATAAAAGGTATAAAATAATTGTTGGAGCTAAAAATAAATAATCCAAATTTTTTGTTTAAATTTATTATGACACATTAGATTTACACAAAAATAATATATAAAACAGTTAGAGATGCTCTAACATTCAGGCCATAATTTTTATAATTAAACGACAATACATGCTTATATAATATGTAAATTTATGGCAATAAATATTTTAAAATAATAATAATAATAATAATAATAATAATAATAATAATAATAATAACAATAAACACAGTTACACACGTACTTGTAATATCAATTTATAAGTGTTATTCAATAATTGGTATGGCAACAATAATTTGTTTTATCCCCTCTCTTTAATTAAAACTCAGAAACTAATTTATTTTATTATTATATTATTTTTGGGCTCA